TTACCTCCACGTGGTGCACCCTGGGCAACGTATACTCATACGGCAAAAAAGTCTATTAACCGGCAGTTGACTTCTGACTTCAAACTACCATAGCCCGACTGCTTGTCATATTCAACCCCTTCCACAGCATTCATCTTGCCTTTTTCTCTACCTTTGTGTCTGTCTGCCTCTTTTACATCCGTGAATCGCCCTTCTGCTCCCCTTCCTCGACTTTCTGCTACTTTGATGACCCTTCCCTCTGTGAAGCCCGAAGTTAACTAAAGGGCTAATGATAGCTATCAAAACGCCTGCCATTTGAAATAAATAAATAAATAACTTAAAGAAATTTACTTTGCATCTACGGGATAAGTGCAGTAGTTGGTTTTTAAAACTATGGATGAATTATTTTAAATCGATTTGATGGGCAATCAGTTTTCGTGAAAATGATTAAAAGTAAAATTTAAATATGATTTTGCGAATGAGCCCACGGACTTAGCGTCTGATATTGTGATAGCTAATGGGAAGCGAAGAAGTATTTGTCAATTCCTCATGTCCTAATCAAAAATAAAGTGAAACCTTGTCGACCGCAATTAGATTTTAGGTTTTGCAGACAGGTCAAATCTAGATTTCATGTGTTTAGAACCCTTGGGTTATGGTCAGTAGAGAGTTACTGTTTGAGTTCGAACCGGCTAAAGAACTATCCTGAAATTTAATTTAGATTTCACACAGAATATCCATGAGAGGTCATTGGCCTAAGAGATTATTTATTAACATCCAAATTGAGGGCTCCATAAAATTAGGAGTCTAAAGTTGTTAAAGATCTTATATTGTCTCTAATATTAACAGAAACGCTACTTTGGAAGATTAATCAAATTGGAATTATTAATTACTTTTCAAAACGAATTATTTCACTTTAGATCAGTGAGAGTTGAAGTGGATAAATATGTATTGGGTAGATGCAATGGAAATGGATATACAAGGATTTCTGTAAAATAAGGCAGTAGAAATCACATTGGAAAGTAAAAGTTAAAAAATAGGATTTCGGACACGATGATAATGGTGTAAATTCGCGTCCATTGATCGTTCATGAGTAATCGACAAGAATTTACTGGAATCTGAATTTGTTCCAAACATTTGATTAACAACACATTGCAGGGACTTATCGTAACAAATAGGCGTAACAAATTGAGCGAATTTTAATAGAACTCATGTAATTTCATAGAGTTGCGATTCGAAAACAACCTATAGTATTCAGGGTGGTCGTGAAGTGATTGAAAATAGGTCAGCAGAGCTCAATGTGTTTGGCAGATTTGAGTGTCACATTGTAATAAAGCGGAAAGGTTTTAGGATACTAGGAAGTGTAATTGATCTAGTGCTCAATTATAAGTAATCGGTAGTATTTATAATGAAATAAATCGCTAGAAATTTTTCGGGAGCAAAAATGACTTGCACTGGAAGAAGGGCCGAATTCAACAAATCATGAAAGTATAGGGGAAAAATGAGCTGTGTAAAGGAGTAGTGATGTTAGCAAAATTAGTGGAAAAGATATTCCAGTATAAAGATTCATAGATTTTTTTGTATAAATTTTGAATGTCATGACTGGTTTGAATCATATATTAAGTGTAAAAGATCATTTAGGGAGATAATCGACAGTTAAACGTCCAATAAGTCACTAATTTTAAAAATGAAAATAGGGAAGAAGAATAGTTTTCAACTGTATCACTGGTGTTGTTGATACCAGAAGAAAGAAGGGTTAATTAAATGCTTCATGATCTCTAAGCATGGAACGATATTCGCAACTTAATCAGAGGTCCCAGTTTACTATAAGCTTGAAAAGACTTATCTGCAAGGTTTTTAAGTAATAAATGTAATTTGACTAATTTAAAGCAGTAAATGCTGATCGGTTAGTTATTTAATTCGAGGAAAGTTAATCTCCACCTCTAGGACTCAAGCTATCTAACTTATTATTCATCTATACTACTATCTCAAATCTTCATTTTTCTAAATTCCTAAATAAATAGAATCAAATGTGATAATGCCAGCAACTTGATGTATTAATTGTTCATCATAATGAAAAGTTGTAATAAGCGCTAGGAAAAGTTATGTTTTGAGTGCCCTTGATCTTTTCAGCATATCACTAATTGAGATCATGATTCCTATATGACCTATTCTTCACACTATGGTACAATAACAGGGTCTTGGGCTACCTAAAAACCACATTAGCAACAATATAATTTGGCAACACCACAAAGCATTTTAACAGAGTACGATCCAGGTTGACCTGTTAATAAATCGGTTTGCACCATGCGCCTTTTACAAACACTAAAGTGGAAAAAATTGGGCAAATAAAAGGGTTAGAAAAGGATTAATTAAAATGAAAACACAAGTATAAGTACAAAAATTTTGTGGGAAGAACCTGCTTTTTAATATGTAACTTCAATAAAGATATCTAATTATTTCTCTAAGATCGAGCAATTTTCCCAGGTTCTGTTAAGTCGCTGAATAATAATTCCATTGGATCTTATCATTGATTAAAAGACTGAAAGTCATTTGCCATCATAAATTTAACATTCATACCTCCAATATTTGACGATGACTCAGAGTTATTCCTTCTTGTTGTAAGATTCTACTTTCATCGAATTTTTCAGGGTCACTTGATGAGGTATTTGAATTATTGGAAATAGAGCTTCTTCCACACAATGCCTAAATTTATTTTACGACGAACTGTGATGCAAAACGAAAAATCGACCTATGCTTGATAATGGATTAGTAGCTAATATTTGTCTTTATAAATTTGTGACTTTTGGCGCTTCTATGCCCAATAAATTTAAGCTTCCATTATGATGAACACTTAGGGTCTATAATCTTTTTGAAAAGCCGGAACCAATGGGTCTGTAATCTTTTTATTTTTTATAATTTTCAGTTCATTTAGTTTTTTTCTGGAGGTACAACTCAAAATTCGCACTCTTTGCTTTTGCCAATAACTATCTAGAAAATGTTGCCTTTCCACTTTTCAACTAGAAGCGCCTCACACTCAATCTACAAAGTCTTATCAGTTTGGGTGTATTAAAGTAAGGCGTTTTAAATAGCTTCTATTAAGGTACTTTTGGGGCTGAAACAATAACTAATGTTCTCAAAGTATGCTGTTATATTGCCAAAAAACTTTTGTTCGTATTAACGGAGTTTTGGATCTTGTTTGCTTATTTTGTCAGGATCTCTTTGAGGAAAAATCTCTATGACCCTTACTTGTTTACTATAATATTTTGTTTCACTTACTTTGCACGTAATTTTCGGATTTATCGTAAAATCCCTGAACTATCCGCTTATTATTCATTCCTTCTATTCTTTCAGCTTCGAGACAGCTTCTGATCCGTTTTTATTTGTAACAAAAAATGTTCTCTCCTTCCAACTGGCAGAATATTTGCTTTCAGCAGCATTTCTTGTATACTAGTTTTATTTTTCTTATGGTTGTTTCCAAATAAATGCATTTCTTGGTTTTGTATGTCTTCTTAATCGTTCACATGTTCAAGTTACGGTTCTACGTTTTCAGGTGACTATATTTGGGTTCTCTATGATTTGTACTTGTATTTGTATCATTTTTGTGGCTTCATTATAACTTCTTTATATTATGGTTATTTATTCTTATGCTTAAAGCTTTTCTATATAACTTGGTGAGAAGAAAGCATGCTGGTTTGTAAGAGTCGTAGATGTCAAACTGATGTGCCAAGGGCTTTTGATAACACATTAGTTTGCTTTAATAACTGATTACCGCCAATATTTTCAACTTATTGCTAACTAGCGCCTTTCTACATACTACTAATCTGATCTAATGGCTTTGGCCTTAAAATTATCAGTTCCATATTTGGTTCTTTTGCTATTATGTTAAGTCCGACCATTTGCCTTTTGGATAATCGGTACATTAAACATAGATTCAGTAAGTCATGAATGGTTCCTCTTCATTTCGATATCCCTGGCAAGTTGCCAAGAGGCCGGAACTACCAATTGCTGAGAGTCCGATAACAGGTTGTGTGGCGACAAACACTGAGGGCTCAGTGAGTGAACTACCGTCTTGTGAAGTTGATGGAAACGGCGCAGCTTCATCTGATGAAAACGTGTTAACAGATTTCGCCTCTAGTCCTACACCTTCACCTAATGATGACTTGGAAGAGCTTGAACGCTCAGTTATCGACATGGAGAGGGTAAATCTCCTTTTTGCAATTGCCCTCGCATTCTTTTTATAAATTTTGCCGTCTTTTTCTTATAGTATGTTGATGAACTACAATTTGAGCTGCTTAAATTTCGACAAGCTGATGAAGTAAAGAAGACAAGTATAGATCAACCACCCCAGCCTTTTAAAGAATTTCTAAAAGGTTTGTCATTGAAATTATTGCAAATGGCTTTATTATAACTCTTTGGTCACAAATGAGTAAAATGAATGTGTTAATGGCCTTTCCTTCTAGATTTACAAATTATAGTTGGTAGCTTAGAGGCTCATAAAACCGATTACACCTTGGTCACCGATATACAAACAGAAAACGTGAGGCTACGGGAGGAGCTGCTTAAGTTCACCAATGAGAAGGAACAACTGGAAACTCAGATTGATGAGCTGAAACAGCTCCATGAAAATGAATTGAAGTCACTTCGGTCAACGAATGATGAAGGGAGTAAGTAAACTCACCTCTGTCTAATGAAATAGCTTAGCAAGTATATAAACTATCAACTACCTTTGGCAATTCAATAAACCCGAGGTATTTTAGGTTCGAATCGCATGGCTTCTTGCTTGTGAACTTAACCTTCTAATTCTTGTAGCTAATAGTCCCTTTTTTATCCTCTTTAGTGGCCTCCATGCGCAAAGCATATGAAGAGAAATGTAGGCTTAATGAATTCGAGCAGTCAATACAATTTTCTCGAATTGCCAAATAATATTTCCACTTTTAGGGGAGAGGCAGGTGAAGGAATTCAACCAGCTAATTGAAAAGGAACGCGAGGACTTTGCCAAGCAGAGGGAGGCTTGGAATGAAGAGAAAGCCACAGTAAGGGCATATTTGCAATATATATTAATATTTTTATTTTTTTTGCATCTCAAGTAAGTAGTTAAAGTTTTCAACGAAAATACTAGTTGAAAAGCTGTCGAATGTGCTTATTTTTGAAAGGTTTATTTATTTATTTATTTCAAATGGCAGGCTTTATGATATTTATCATTAGCCCCCCTTAATCCTTTGACGTTCCGCTTCCCCCAAGAGGGGGGGGGGTACATTTATAGCAGTTAGCTTCCCCCAAGGGTAGGGGGGGGGGACATTTATAGCAGTTAATTCCTACCCCAAGAGGGGGGGGGGATACATTTATAGCAGTTAATTACGTTCATGAAGGGGGGTACATTTATAGCAGTTAATTAATAGCAGTTCATTTAGCTGTCTTCTTGCTTCCCAGTATCTCTGGCTTAATTACATTTATAGCAGTTCATTAATAGCAATTCATTAGCTGTCTTCTTGCTTCTTACATTTATAGCGGTTAATTAATAGCAGTTCATTAGCAGTCTTCTTGCTTCCCCGTACTCTGCTTTCAGCTCATTAGCTGTCTTCTTGCTTCCCAGTATCTCTGGCTTTCTTGCTTGTCTTTAGAGCTGGACACCGAATCAGGTGGGTCTTCCTTGTCTTTAGGGCTGGACACCGAATCAGGTGGGTCTTCCTGTCTTTAGGGCTGGACACCGAATCAGGTGGGTCTTCTGTGTCTTTAGGGCTGGACACCGAATCAGGTGGGTCTTCTCAAATGTAGGTTACATAGAGGGCATGTGGGTTGAGTGTATACCATGTAGGTTAACATCGAATTAGGTGGGTCTTCTCCATTTCCTCCTGTGGGACACCGAATCAGGTGGGTCTTCTCCATTTCCTCTTGAAGGTTACATAGGGGGCATGTGGGTTGAGTGTATACTCCCAAGGCTACATAGAGGGCATGTGGGTTGAGTGTATTCTCCCAATAGTAGGTTACATTGGGGGCATGTGGGTTGAGTGTATACTCCCAATCTGTGAAATCAGTGTGTCTTCTCCATTTCCTCATGCAGGTTACATAGGGGGCATGGCTTCTCCATTTCCTCATGTAGGTTACATAGAGGGCATGTGAGTGTTTACTCCCAATCTGTGAAGGTGTTTTGCCAGGCAACCGTTTCCTCCTGTAGGTTACATAGAGGGCATGTGGGTTTAGTTTAGGTTACATAGAGGGCATGTGGGTTGAGTGTATACTCCCCTCTGTGAAGGTGTTTTGCCAAGCAATCGTGTCCGGTACGTAAACTCAGCAACGGCTTCGATTCTTGGCCAGTCGGGTATATCGGAGAGTGCCACTGTCCACTGTTTCCCCTTTGTTTCCACTGTCCACTGTTTCTCCTTTGTTCGAGCTTTGAGTTCGTTGGTATGGTCTGGAATTCTCTCCTGATTAAGGCCTTCATTGGAGGTCTGGAATTCTCTCCTGATTAAGGCCTCCATTGTGTCCTTGACATGAATTCTCTCCTGATTAAGGCCTTCATTGTGTGGACTGTCCGATACGTAGTCTAAACTCAGCAACGGCTTCGATTCTCGCCAGCCGGGTATGTCGGAGAGTGCCACTGTCCACTATTTCTCCTCTATGTGGTAGAGTGCCACTCTCCACTGTTTTTCCTTTGTTCGAACTTTAAGTTCGTTGCATTCGGAGAGTGCCACTAGGAAATTCTCTTCTGATCAAGGCCTTCATTGTGTGGAAAGACATCGGCCGGTTTCGAGCTTTAATTTCGTTGCACGTCCACTATTTCTCCTTTGTTCGAGCTTTGAGTTCGTTGCATCTTGAGGTCTGAAATTCTCTTCTGATCAAGGCCTTCATTGTGTGGAAAGACATCGGCCGGTTCTCTTTTGATTAAGGTCTTCATTGTGTGGAAAGACATCGGCCGGTCTATCCCTTAGCAGGCGGTCCATGCATTGCAAAATCGTTGTCCTCTTCTTAGCAAGTGTGTCAACTACATCAATGTCTGCTAATGTGGTTCATGGGGGGAGAGAGGCCTTTAGGTTTGTCATCGATTTGTAATGCTTT